AATGTAAAAACAATACCCTAGCTACCATATTTTACGTAAATTGTATGTAAAAACTTAGGTTTTTGCGCTCTGGAATCGTAAAAGACAGAAAAGTAAAAGATGTCACTTTCAGAAATTTTTTGCTTTTATATACTCAGTCAACATTATGTCCCCACAATCAGGAATCCGTGTCCCCACAAAAGTATCCTGCACTACACAACTTCAGCTCCTTAAGTCTAAAGTGCCAATTTCTTTTAACTCCCTTCAAAATTAAACTGTCAGCCATCAGAATATAATTTATTCATATATTTTTCAGCACTTACAACATTTCATTAAATTTCTCAATTAATTACATTAACTTATAATTTAAATTCAATGAAATATGCCAAAAATTATTAATTTTCTAGATGAGTTAGTGACTCATCAGAGAGTATGAGGCTTGTGTGGATTATTGCCAACTTAATGAGGTAATCATTAAGAACAAATATATGTTGCCACAAATCGATGATTTGATGGACCAATTGAGAGAAGCGATTATGTCTGTCTTTATTCATTTATCTATTTTATATCCTCTTCAATTGTACTTTATTTGTTTTTTTCTCTCTTTTGTATGGATTCTTGTTTCTGATATTAGAGCCTAAGTAGCAAAAGATGTTTAGGTTCTTAAGTTTTGAGTGTTAACTGATAAGTAGCATTAAGAGCTGGTAGAACATAAATTAACTTAGATCATGGTCCCCGTGATAATTCTTAAGAGAGACAATACAGCCCTTGGTTAACAATGATTTTGTAGTTATGAGTTAACCAAAAAATACAAAAGAGATAAACTTTATAAAATGTTTAATTATATATTACATAAAAAATTATATATAAAAATAACTTTATTTTAATTTTTTATTTATAATTTTAAAAAAATTATCAAAATATTTTAAATCAATAATATATATATATATTGTGTATGTGAAACTGAAGGCATCTATCGAGTGCACTCCACATTTGTAACGAAAGTTATAATTATGAATATTTATAAAAAGTAATTAGGAATTGAATATATGTTTTTCATAATTACTGATATTTCTAAAACATAACTTTGGGAAAAAAAATGTTGACAAAGATTAACATAGTTTATGAAAATTATTTAAATGTATAAAAAAGTATTAGATTAAAATGAAAAATAAATAATTTTTTATATTAAATTTGTTATAAATTCTTATATCCATAAACAAATTATCTGAAAAATATAATTGAATAAAATTAACTAAAAAATAAAATTAACAAGAATTATTATAAAAAAAACAAGACATAACTTTATAAAATATTTAATTATATATTACATACAAATTTATAAATAAAATATTATTTTATTTTTTATTTATAATTTTTTCCAAAAAAATAACAAAATTATTTTAAACCAATAAATATATATAAAATTAACTACGTTATAGCATTAATATAATATAAAAAATATTAACTATATGATAAATTAGGATGCAGAAATATATATATTACATATAAATTGATAAATTTAATTATAATTTTTACTTATTTTTATTTATTTAAATATTTATTAATTATTATATTTTAAATATATTTGCAATTGTATTTTTTATTTTTTATAAAATATTTCTGAACAAATAATTTATTTATGTAAAATTCTCTAAAAATCATCATTCAATGCTCTCCATATTTATATTTAAATAGCTTTTATTATGTTTCACCCTAAATTATAATTAATCTATAATTATTAAAAATTTTAAAAAAACTTAAAATTTTATTAGAATTGATTGAATTTAATTCTTATAAACTATTTAATGGTCAAGAAATCTTAATAACCAAAAAAATATATTAAATGTGTGTTGTTTTAAGAAATTTGATTGGAATTGATTATATATATAAAAAAATTTGTTAGTAGGCATAAAATGTTAAAAACAAAAGTAAATTATTGGTCATGAATTATAGCTAATAAAGAGTTATTCAAATTAATTGTATATAAACATGGAAAAATTAATCATAGAATGTTAAAAATAAAAAATTGCATTAAATACCTTATTTTTCTTTATTTAAATAATTTGATTAATTAATTATTATCTCAACTAATAAAAATATGTATAAAAAATCAAATATATTTGAAGAAAAAAAAATTAAGTAAGTAAGTAATATATATAACAATTAGTACACATACTTACAAAAAAATCTTGTTTCTATCTTATTGAAATATTTTTTACTTAAAACATACGACTATCAATTGATCAATAATTAGTAATTAATTGAATTTTAATGTGTTAAAAAGAAGTCCAAATCCAGAATTCAAACATCACTTGTAAATATTAAGATAAATAATTATAATACAAATAAAAAGAAAAAAATTATTAAATTAATTTTTCGTCTATACCTATATCATTAATTTTTATACAACTTTTAAAAATTTATCAAAACTTATTTTATTTTTTATTTTACAATTATGTTAGCTTTCAATAGTTATAAAAATAAGTAAGTACATATATCTTTTGAGTTGATAACTTAAAAAAATATTATTTTTTTTTGTTTTTCTTTCCTTTTTATGAAAAAATACATCCTACAATATTTATCAATCTTATTTTTTATTTTTCTTGGTTATGTGGCAATGATTTATAACCAAATAACCATAAATTAAATTAATTTTCTTCAATTTCACTTATTATTGATTCAAACGGATGCATGCACAAGCTTAGAGTAATTTGTTAAGCAACCTCGTGAATTCTTTATGGACAAATAGGAGGGAAATGTGTACGGAAAAAACTCATGCATTTGTTCATGCTTTTATTTAACAAAATCAAATGGCCAGCAAATTATGTTTTAGATTTATAAATTCAATTTGAGAAATGAGTCACATTAAAGGAAAATATGGCAGTATGTTTTGCATGTGTTTTGGCTGTGGAAGCATATAAGCAATGAGTGAAGATAGCTAAAGATAGTACATTTTTTTATTGAAGTCGAGTAGCAGAAGTGAAGTCAACTTCAGAATCAGAGCTAATCATCTAATGTTCTCTACAGTGGACAGGAATTCGCCATGAATGTTACCTCGTTCTCTAGTCATGATCACACACGAACACGTTTTCACACTTCTAACATATAGCAACTTTATTGGGCACAACATGTATCACCTCGCTAAAACACTAATGCACAACCTGGTCCAATAACTTAGGACACTTACATTAAAAGATAAACAACTTGAACTCATATATAAAGAAGGAATCTTCCTAAGACTAGTATACTTTCTAACCTAATTAAGTACTATAAGTGAGATTAACCCTTCTAACTTGGAACTCGAAATATTTCTTGCATAAACACCCACTGCTGAGATATCATTGAAACCATCCAACACTTTCCACCACCGAGAACTACCGTTCATAAAGAAAAAATCACCTATTCTGGTCATCTAGTACAGATCAACTGTAATGGAAATGTTGTACGGTCAGGAAATTCAAGGCCGATATTGGACTTGAATGTTGGTTCAATATGTCTTAACTTCATGAAAAGCCGAAACAAAGAAGCCAAAAGGTTCTCAAATGAAGATTTTAGTTAAAAACTCTGAAAAGATGTTTTCAGTAAACTTTTTATATTTATTGTTATAAAACATGTTGAACATGTTTCTGGTGTTTAAAATAATTTTGATGAAGGGATATAAAGTGTATTGTACTCATTTAAACCTCTGAATTGAATTTATTTAAATTAATTTTTTGAATATAATGTTCAATGTTAAAGCTTTTAATCATTAATTCACATTTTTCACTTATTCATAGCGTTTTAATTAAAGAAATTTTTTTAAAAAAGAAGAGCTAAAACTAATTGACAGAACGATAATTCATATAAAAAGGAAGTAGATTCGATTCTGAAGCATAAGCATTCCATATGGTAGGCACAGAATCTTGCATATGAAGTAAAAACAATTGCGCAAAGGAGTTTTTCTTGAATTCTTGATACTTTAACTTCAGTACCTTTTAAGGCTTTCTTTTTCTCTTTCTATCGCTGTTTTCTATTTCAAAAGGTTTTTAATTGTTTTATTTCATGCTAAAATAGAAAAACTTCGAATTGATTTTATATATGATGTGCAATTTTTTCCAGTAAGCGACAAAAGTAAAGTTGAATAAACAGAGTTTACGTCAGGTGAAATATTTTTTACGTAGCGCCTGTTTTACACAATGTGCTAACGGAGTTATGGCAGAATTGAGAAATTTTTAATTCTCGCGAAAAGTGTCTAAGTGTGTAAAACACAAATAGACCAGTAATTTTACTAAAATATACAAACACGAGAAAAGTTTTATGCAATTTAGAGTAAGGAGTTAGTGACAGATTTATCTGCACAATTGAGATTTTTCTTTTATGAACCATAAAATTAAGTTTGCTTTCCCTTTTAACACGTGACAAATATGTTCATACTTACAATTTAATTATATGAAATCCCTGTCGAACAAGTCCAAGGAAAAACAATTAAATATCTAACGATCCCAAAAGTAAATAGTTTTGGTTACTATAAATATTTTCTATTTTTTAATAGCCTAAATATCCCACCAAAAAGATAAATTTATAAACTTCTCCGGTTAACTTTTATTTAGATTTATACAAGTTCTCTTATCAATAAAAACTTTGCAAATTCTTAAAATAAAATAAATGCTTACTCGATTAAGTTACAAATTTTGTTGCTCTTAAAGCTACTAAAGTTCAACATACTGACTTTGATGCCCCAAAAATAAATAAAATAAACATACCAGCTTTGAAAACAATGGAATTTTGCCAAGTGAAAAACATTAATATTTGTTATTTGCTTATAAATTAATTTCCATGGTATACAACTGTTTACATGCTCAAATAGCCGAATTAGATCCAAGTGGATGGAATGATACATGATCTTTTTCTTTCCAAGTTATGAACAATTAACAATTCATTCAATGATTCGATACAAAATTACAGGGTATGAATGTTGACACACCAGTTAATGAGTTCAACCATAAACATGAGATATCAAGCTCAGCAGACAAAACATACAACACATAAGTTTAAAAATTAAATTATAAAAAAAATCATCCAAAAGTAAGCAAGTACATTTCCGTTTTTCTCATAATTTTGAGTCAAGTGTTAAATAATTTTCATTTCAAATTTTTTAGCTTTTGTTAATCAACCTAGTCAAGTAGACAATGCTTAAAATACAATCAGTAAAATGCGAGCTCAAATTGTATAATAACAATAGTTTAGCTGCATAAATACCAAATAAAACATTTTTATGCCTGCATTAATTACCGAGAAATTTCCTCTTTCTACTTGTGTTCATGTAAGGTCTAATCACCCATTCTATTTGAGCTTCAGTTTGATCCACCGTTCCCAACTTTATCTGCAACATGTTTATGAAAAAACGAGTAACTAATTGTAGGCGTTAAACAGAGTTGTACTATAAGGAAAAGACTCGGTTTCTATGACAGTTGACTTAGGCATAAACTGGAGTTTTAAGGTAAACCAAATGAATGAAAAGATAACAAAAAGCAATAAAAGCTAAAGTATGAACTGATAGGATCCTATTGAGTCTTGCAAGTTAGTGTGCACAGTAATCATTTTAAGCAGTTATGATACTAGAGGCTTTAAGCCAGCAGTTTACTGCTGGATCACATTTAGAATTTAAAACTGATATTACTTAGTGAAAGAATACATTCCATCAAGAGGCAGCATTCATCATCTAGAAAAAAGGGTGAAAGTTACAAAACTGTCATTTAAATGAAAAATGAATCATAAGAAATCAAATTAAAATAAAGTTTGAGGAATGTAAATAATGATAAGAACAGAGTGGAAACATATCGTATGACCCATGCAAAACAATGTCCTCTAAGTAAAAGGAAAATGTAGTTTTTTTTCCTCTAATTTTAGTACCACGTAGTTTTTTCCTTCCAACTGGAAGATCATCCTTCCTCACAACATCATTAATAATAAAGCAATCAATGGTGCACTTAATTGTGATGCAAACCTGATAAAGTCGCAACTCAAACCGTGGACCAATTTCCTTCAGTTCTACAGATTTGGGGCCGCCTGGCTTTTCAAAAATATGATGCCTGCATGCAATAAAACAATTTCAAATTTAAAGTAAACAAACTCTAACCAGTGAAAGTTAATAGAACTTGAACAAATAATTGTAAAACCAGTTATATTGACCCCAACCTGAATGAGATATAGTCGGACTGGTTGGAAAAAGTGACAATACGTTTTGTGTCTGGTTTTGGCACCGGAAAAAGATGCTTTAGAATGTTTGCTGTCCTTTCACCTAACTGTTTAACGTCCAAAAGAAATTTCAAACAAAATGAGCAATCAGCACACAGAACACTGTAAATATTGTTGTAGATAATAATTACTTTTGTCAAAGTTGAGTTTGTCAAGGCATATTTTCTTAAACAGATTGTCACGACATAAGAGGAAATGACCCAAAATAAAAGGGTCATTGAAAACAGATAATGATCCTATATATGTCAATCATGAATCACCAATGCTTTCAATGTAAGCTGATTCTTGGCAAACTCAATTTTTTTTTCAAAGAAAACATGCAATATATTACAAGAAATAACTTTGTTGATTAAAAACCACTAATAGGCCAGCGATTGAGCACCATTTGTTTTCCAAATTGAATGGAGTTCAAATCTCAGTAATGCAATTTCTTAGTTACACATGGATATAATATAAAATCTTCAGCTATTAGTTACACAGACCCGTGCTCAAGTGGTTGACTACACAACCTCTCTGGTCAGATCCATGTTCAAATTCAAGTACTGCTCCAAATATTTTGTGCATTAAAACAACACAGCATTGGTGGATTAAATAACTTTGCCTTCTGTCCAAAATCAAGTCTTCCCAGAGGCTATTTATATATATAAGCCCTTTTTTATTTACTTAACAATTTTTCTTGGTCTTACTTTATCCCTAACTTTTGGGCAATTCTCCATCTAATCAACTCTTCTTAGTAGATTCTATTGTCTGACTCCTCGTATTGCCAAACCATCTAGGCATGATTCTAACCAGAGATGTGCATGGATAGGTTTGGTATTAAAACCAAACCAAATCCATTGAAAAACCAATTATAAGGATTGGATTTCAAAGACAACCCATTTTCTGTTTTTTAAACAGGATTACTTTTGATGGAACCAGTTTTAAACTGATTGTGTGCCATTGTGTTACTGCAGGAAGAGCAAGCAATACTTTTGGTTTTAACAACCATAATACAAAGATACAACCCGTCCAAAAATATGTCAAACTAAAAGGTTGCAAAAAAACTATATCTCTTTGAAAAGTAAGATCCTTTTGTTCTTTCAGAAAATTTTAGGATGTTGAACCAGAAAGGAACCCAAGTGATATGTGTGTATTAAAACCAGTTTCTTAAAAAAAAAAAAAAAAGTAATTGTACTTCCTTGCAGTGGACTATGGTGGTTGTGTTCCTGAACTTGTGACAGAGCCAACAATGAGCTTCACAAATGGCAAGGATGAACAAGTGGCTCTGGCTCAATGGTATTTGAAAATCTAGTTTTTAACCGAATGGATTTGGTTTTCTAAAAGCAGATATGGAAAATATCAAGTAGTTATCAGAAGATCCAATGATGAAGGCGACCAACCATTACCAGTGAAATTTAGCGCATAGGAAGATAATAAAGCTATGCCGAATTATGAATACCTTAGTTGAGAAATTATCAAGAATTAGATGCGGATAAGCCTCAGGCATTGTTCCAATGGCTCTCTTGTCTTTAATTTCATGCCTTGTAACCTACAAGAAACAACAAATTAGCTTATTGTCCCCTAAAATCAATAATAAGGAACACTGTAAGATTAATACTTACCACGTTGAGTAATCCAAAATATGCAGTTGGACCAAATGGTAGATGACAAACAATTAAACCATCAGGGACACCACGATGTTCATGAACTAAAACAACATCTGTGTAGTCATGTGCACGACAAGACTCTATAATCTCTGAGATAACCTGAAATGAAAGGGAAGATCTTATAAATATAAATAGTTGTGTAGAGAAAAGGTCATTAGGCATTAGAACAATTGAAGTCAATTAGTTCAAGGAGTCTAGAATTATTAAGTGATAATATTTTCACTTCACTATACTTGTCCTCATGGTAAATCAACAAAATGTTAGTCAAGAAAATAATATATTGATAGAAACTGGATCAGAGAAGTATGAAGAGAAAAAGAATGTCTTTGTCAATGTTATCAATAGCAAATAGTAGGTCATGGCAGAAAGCCAATAAACTACTATAAAATTATGGTGAATGCCATGGAGGCTTCTGGCATAAGCATAGTATATATAAGAAAATATATTAAAAAAAATTCAAAATGTAATAAAAAACCAAAAAACTAACAACAAATGCCAAAATCAGGAAACCCAATTGATAGAAAACCAACAAATAACATCAAATGTGTAATAACAAGATATCATAAGTCTCATAATATCATAATAACATAGTAGCATAAGTCTCAAAGCTTGTTGTTCAGCCATAGTTTCAGGTCAAACAACAGATTAGAAACATTATGATGTAAGAGATGTAGGAGGTAGAATAATGAAACCTAGTGGTCCAAGAAGTACTAATCATGCTATGCCTTCAATGTTAATCATGTGTGAATCACAGCATGGTATTTGTATCAACTTCTTTAACAAGAAGCAAGAGGAGTAAGTGTGCATCACAATGAAAGACCCCAGTTCTATCTACCATTGAAAACAAAATTATACCAATTTCATAGGCCTGAATGACAGAAAAAGTAACAAAAAGGAAGTAAATCAAGTAATGAGTTCTTCCGATCTTCCTTGATTGAGATTCTTCATTCTTCTCATAATTTTTCATTTATTCTAATCCATTGACGATTTGGATTCAAATCTTTTGGTGTGTTTACTTCTAGCAACTCCTATTTTCAGTTTCTTACTCATTTTCCAGATAGATAGAAGTTCCTTCAAGCCCATTTGGAACTTGAAAATCTAAAATCCCCTCCGAGGTCAAATTTATGTTTGGATAGCAGTAGAGTTTGTAAGTGACATGTGAAGATTTGTGGACCTCACATAGCCCTCTATTCTGATGTGTTCCATGCACATCTACTTTGGAAGCGGCATTGCATTTGGCAACCTACTTTCTAATGGAATGCTTAATTAGTGCTTGTAGTGTTATTTCACCATTGAGTGTTTGCAGTTTTCACCCAATGTGTCAAAGGCTTTGGCAGGAATAAGGATATTCAAAACTTCTCACAATCTTCACTTTTATGAGGCTCTTTGGTACTTGAGTATATCCATCTGGAGGATTTGAGAAGCATGGTTGAAAAAGATTAAGGGGCATTGCATGTGCTATAATATAGGATAGTCCTTATGGTATCTCTTTGGCCACTCTGCATGTAGATGTTTCAAGTGAACTTCCATTATAGACAATCAGAAAATTAGAGAGCTTTCAAACTTTCAATTATCCATTCCATTATGTTTTAAAATGACATCTTATCCTCCACCAGTTGTTCTCTTATGATATTACCTCTCCAATTACAAACATATTTTCTTATCTAAACTACATAAACGAAGAGTCCAAAAATAATAATTGAATCTTCAAGCTACAAACACATACAGAAGTCATAATATGAGACAATGGATGGTAAAACGGTAAAGGTACCAACCTGACCACCGCGATTCATTCTTTGTGCATTAGGAAAGACAATACTCAACTCCTACACAAAGAATTGAAAACCGCAATACACAATAAGATTTCCTTGAATGAACAAACAAAACAAAGTATAGACCAAAGAAAACAAAACAAGCAAACCTTTACAAACTGTTGAAGAGGAGCACTTGGATCACGTGATGTGGTCAGCAAAATTTTTGGATCTTTCTCCGCAGCATTAGCATACTCATCATCAATGTGTGTCCTTGGAACTGAATTCAATCACAAACCACACCAAACCCCATATAGAAAGTCATAACTAAGTTAAAAAAACAAAAGATATAACACAAAAGGTTTAAAAAAAACTTCGGCATTCCAAAACTTCATTTTAAGTTAAAAGCAACTAACTGCAATTCCAGAGCTATTACAAAATTCACAAAAAAATAGAAAAAATTCAAAATAAATAAATAAAGCATAATACCAGCTGTGTATTCATCCTCGAGATCGATTTCACGACGAAGTGCCGCTTCCTCGTTCCTGAGCTCAGTGGGTATGGATTTCCCTTCTGAAAATTTAAAAAAAAAAAAAAACAATTGCATAAGAAACAGTGAAAAAAACAATTTGGAAAAATTAAAATTGAAAAAAGGATGAAGGAAGGAAGAGGAAAAGGAGGGACCTTGAAGAGCTTCTTTGATCTGTCGCTTCTTCTCGTAGTGCAAGCGCTTATGGCCTTCTAAGCTCTTTCGGTACAAATACTCTCTCCTCAAACGGATGTTTCTACGAAGCATTTTCACTACACCACCAAATCGTCACTCAATAGAACTGCCGAAGGTTACTGCGAAGAATAACGCACACTGCGGCGGGGAAAGAGAGTGCAGAGCGGCCGCGGGAAGATGAGAGAATGAACAAAAGAAAACAACACCTTGCTTACCCTTAATTGTTACGGGAAATTAATTTAAACACAGCATTTTAAGATATTATATAATGAAATTTTAGAGAAAATTATAAAAATATTTTATAAAAATTAACTGATTTTATTTAAATTGTTTAAGTAATTTTCAATTTTTATATTTTAAATTTTTATATCTTTGTTAATTTTTTAAATTTAATATGTATTTTTTTTCCTAATAAATGAAACTAAAAAGCCCAAAACATTAACAACCTAGGCCAAGAAACACCTAAAGTATCAAATATTAATAGGGTTTCTACAGAGGGAGAGAGCCCTCTCAAAATAGAAAGGTGGCAACCCAGTCTCAAACTCAAACTTAATTTTTCTAAAAAAATGTCTAATCTTATCAATCATAAAAAATAAAAGATATTCACAACTTTAAACATTAGCAATTAAAGATATTGCTTTCTTAGAGTCACACTTAACCCATATAACATTGATATTTCTAGATACAATAATCTCAAGATTCTAATATATTTTCCATATTTATGCAACAAGGGAAGAGTAAGGTGGAAGAGCTTGATAAAAACTAGCTAAGAAGGACCCTAATGATTGTGAACTAAACCCTCACAGTTGGCCTATCCAAAGTTAAGCTGAGTTATTCCATCAATGTTGAGCTTGAATTGATCATTAATAGGAAGAAGCCACCTCACAAAACTCTTAGGCACCATATTACCAAAAAAATAATGTTGGTTACTCCTGTCACAAAACAACATGTAGTCAAAATCATAAACAATTTTATGCAGTAAAGTTTCATCGGATAAAAGAGAGTTATAAAAGATAACACAATTCCTTTTTTTTCAAAGATTCCAGCTAACTACACCAAACAATTTGCTCTACGGAAGAAACAATGAAAAATTATGTTTGAACAAATTGATATCCAACTAATTTTGAAGGCCATAACTGAAAAAAGAAGACCATTTGTTAGGGGAAATAAAATGGTTCTAGATTTGGGATGCGCAACCACAATTCCTGAGAACATAAATTAATGACTAAGGGGCCAAATTACACCTAGGACACAAGGAAGAAATAGACATTTCATGACTATATCTTTATTTATTAGTTAACAATTTATTATGAGCAACTTTTCAAAGAAAAACATTTATTTTAAAGAGTCTTCCCAATCCCAAATTAACCTAAAATTAGGATTATTATTTTGCCTATTCTGATTCTAAGAAAAAATAAAATTATAAGTAATTTTATTGAGAACATACCATTATTTGATAGAGTCCAAAAAAAATGGTCTTCATCAAGAAATAATATGTATTATTTTTAAATATCTTACAAACAAATACTTATATTACACCTACAAAATATTTCAATAATTAGTAAATTGTAAGATTTTATTTTAACTTTAAAAATTTAATTTTAATATTATTAAAATATGTTAAATAAATATATTATATATTACAAGAGATATAAAATAATAAAAAATTTATATTGAATTAAAATTACTTTTAAGAAAAATAATACTTAGAGAATATGATAGAATTTATTTTTTCATAATTTTATACTATATTTAATATTTTAAAATATAGTATGCATATTCTTTATTGTGGTTAAAAACATTAATAATGAACCTTTTAGTAAATTATGACTAAAAATTAAAACATATGTTATATTTGATTATAAAATATATTTTAAATGTAATTTACAAGTTATTTGAGCAACTTAAAAAGACATATTTAATCAATATGCTAAAAATAACAATTATAATATCATTAAAGTATATTTAATATTTATTAAATATCTTTTAATATAAAATTTTAATCAACTTTACATATCGATAATCATATACGTAAAAATATTTGTATCATAATAAAAACTGAAAAAATTTACTGAATAAAAAATGTTAATATTTGAACAAAAAATTAAAAATGAGAAAATTATGAATATTTGTTTAAAAAATTATAATAATAGATAATAACTTACATAAATTAATAGAAATTAAAAGTTCAATTAATATTTTATTTATTATTTTATATAATATATGATTATTTATTTTAATTTATAGAGTAGTTAATATCTTATTTAACGTTACTATAGTGAAATAAATTTTACATGTAAATTAGTAAAAGAAACATTTTTTTATAACAAACTACTTATTTTATAAGTAGTACTCAATATTTTTTATAGCAACCTTCGTATTTGAATTTGTAGGCGTAAAAGAAATATTATCTTATAACGAAGACAAGAGATATAATATAAATCAACTTTTAATAATATATTATTTATATTCACAATACAAAAAATAATACTATATATGAATTTTTAATTAAAAAAGTTGAAGTGTTAAGATATTAGAATTTAGTTTTTAATGTTAACTTCTATCATGTTAAGTGTTAAGTTTGTTGATGAAGAATCAACTCAATACTACCACGTCATTTAATTTTTTTAATATTTTAGATTTAATTATGTATTTGATTCCTATAAATATAACACGTTTTGTGATAAGTTCTTATAAAAAAAATTGTCAATATTTAATTCTTAAAACATTAAAATGTTAGAATTTATTTTTTATTGTCAATCCCTTCTTATTAAGTGATGAGTTGGTTAACGAAACTAGAGAATAAATAATGGTGTCAAAGTGTGGGGTGAGATTGGGGATAAGATTGAAATTGAGAGCAAAAGATAGGGTAAGGCGAGAGTAAAGGGAGGGGACTGGGAATGGAGGGAGTGAGGATCAAGGGAGGGGAGAGTGAGGGGTTGGGGTGGTAGGGTGAGGGACCGAGGAGAAGTGTGGGGTAAGAAAAAAAGGAGTGTGAAGTTGAAAGAAAGAAGAAATAGATGACTTAGTTGTAAATATTTAAAATATATTTATATACTTATTTATTTTAAATAAAAAATATTAAAAATTTAAATAATATGATGTGAGAGTAATGAGTTAGCTCTCAATTAGTAAATAAATCATAAAAAATTTATGTATAACTTATATTATCTTACATTTTTTAACATCAAATTTTGAATAAAAATATATACTTTAATACTTTTCATAAATTAAAATACCTTATCGTACTTACCATACTATTTTGCAATAATTTACTATATGAATATAATATTTTTTTATCTTTTATGTTGTTTATCATAAAATTCATATATAGTTATATTATCCTATATTTTAAATGTTATAATTTTATAAAAATAAATTTAATTTTGAAATAAATTCTCTTTTACTAAAACTTAAATGAATAATTTTTTTCATAATTTTTATATAGAATTATGTGATTTTGAGTTCACTATTGTATCGAGAGAACTAAACTTACTTAATTAAAATAATTTTTAAAATTTTTCTCCTTTTTATAATATCTATCAATATTTTTAATTTTTTTAAAAAAGGTAAAGATAGCAAAAATTATTGATTAGAGATTAAATAGATATTTTCAAAATTATAATGAAGTTGCACACTTAATTTAAAATAACTATTATTTAACATTACAAAGTGCTAATATCTTCACATATATAAATTTATACCAAACTTATTCTTTATTTCAAAGATTATATTGCTTTTCATACAAATTTCTAAGGTTTTATTTTAATAAATTTTAGTAGTGATTCTTCTTATTTTTAAAAAAATAAATAAATGATATTTAGTAACATTTTATTCATATTTTATATATAATACATAATTGTGTATTTTAAGTTATAATGTAGTTAATATTTTATTTAATGTCTAATTACTTAATAAAAATTTATCTTATTCTTGTCGGTGTTTGTTAAGATATTAATAAAATTTGTAAGAATTTTATTTAAAACTCTACTGTGTTTTTATTAGAAAAGGTTCTAAAAGTCAAATATAATTGGGAAAGAAAGTGTAGTCCTGATTGAAAAAAACAACTCAATTTGTTTCATATTTAGAGAAAGATTTGTAAAGCTTGAAATTATACTTTATAATGTTTTGTTTTGGGTCATTAGGAATGGTTTAACTATTAAATTTTAGGAAGCCTTTTAAATTCTTAGTTGTCGTAATCTTAATGATTCCTACCGATATTGTTGAAGGCTTGCTTTAGTGTAAGGGTGTGGGATTGAGACAAAATTAATTATTTTCTTTCTTTGGTTATTTGTGATTTTATAGTTAATATTATTTCTTCTTATATTAAAGTTAATGCAGATTCAATTAGCAGTAAACTTTGATAAATCTTTTAACCAACATGATATATTTAGTTTTATCTATAAATGACTAGGTTCTCAAAAGATAAAAAAAATATTTTTATGGCAAGTGACCCATGGTGTAGATTTCATGAAAAAATAAAACTTTAAAAAATGTCTAACTATTGTAATTTAGACTCTAAATTTGTATTGCTTCTAAATTATGGAATTATTTTAATTAGTAATAAGAATAGGAGTAAATTTTATAGTTAGGTCCTTAGCAGATTATTGGTTTTTAATAGCAACTAAATAAATTAAATGGTTTGGATAATTACAATGTTTTATTTAGTATTGAAGTTTGGTTCGTTGGAACAATAGAAATTCTAAATTTTTTTAAAAGCAAGTTGAAAATTTATGTCTCTAGTTAACCATATAAAAGGTTATGCAAAATATGTTACAATAAATTTTGTTGCGTCTAAAAGTTATATTCTCAACTATGTTAGATAGAAATCTATTATCTTTTGAAATCTGCCTCTTAAAAATAGGTTAAAGTTTAATGTGGATAGTTTCATATTATGAAGAAATATCTAGGTATTTGATGGGTTTGGTTTACAATGAGTACAGTGATTTGTGGCTAGTTTTTATAATTTTGATCCTAATAATATTATTCATGTAATTTATATTTTGATATTATTTTTATGATAAATTTTATTATAATTTAATAAATAATAATTATATTTTTAAAGTATTTTTATATTTAAAATATACAAATTAATTGATTTTAAATAAAATAATTTAATAATATTATAAACAAATGCATAATAATTATTAATTACTCTTCAAAATAAGTGAATAATTTACTTCTAACCTTTGACTCTAACCCGCCATTTTTTATATGTTGAAGTTTAAAAGAAAAGTAAATCCTTTGAACATGAGACTTAAAAAAATAATGAGTTATATAGTAGGCTAAGTAGAGTGAGTTATGAGCTTCAACCCATTTTGATAATTGAGCTTTGGCATCTTAAGTTAACCAAGACTTTTCATTTTAAATATATATATATATATATATGCAAAAATAATTTTTAAATTAATTGTTTATTTGATTAATTCTAATATTAAGAAGTGTAATAAATTAGAACTTTTAATTTATAAAACTCACAGTCACATTTAAGCTTATAGAGTTATTAATTTATATTATATGCACAAAGAAAGTAATAAATATGTTAATTTATTAGTATGTATAGTCCTTAAAAAAGCTAAGGAGGTGGACAGTATTCATCAACTCTTCTCTTAATATAATTTCTATGATTAGAAATTATGTTTATCGAATTGGTTTACTTAAGATTAGTTTTATAATTCATTTCATTTGTTGGACTTTTCAGCTTCATTAGAAATTATGTATAATGATTCAACTAACACATTAATCTAAAGTGCTACACTTTCTTTAATTTCTGCAAAGTAAATCTTGGCGCACCTCAACAATTAAAGCAACATTAAATTGACAGTTTAATTAGAAAGAAGAAACAGAAGAAACAACCGACAGTGATGTAAAAGCACCACCACCCCATTGACTATGTAATTTGCCTCCAGACAACAATTTAGTTGCTCAGACATGTCAAGATAGTGGTCACCTACAAAACTCCTTATTATTTTATATTTTTTTTCAACTTATCTCTTAATAATAAAAGCCAGCTGTACAAAAATATTGAATAAATTTTGGTAATTTATAAAAAAGTTGTTTTTAAGTAGCATCTAGCTTCTTAAAAGTTATAATTATTGTTATTTTAATTTGATCTTTAACATTTAAAATGATTTACACTTACACAAAATGATCTTAATACCCTTTTTTTATTAGTTTAACAATTTTGAACTAGCTTTACAAATAGTTTTACCAAATAATTTTAATTTTGATATTAAAAAACAGAAAAGAAAGAAAGAAACGTTTAAAGCACCAAGGCTATGTGTGTTCTGTATCAAGCATTGCATAAAGGAGATTCATTGTATGGGGAAAATTCTATAATGAAAGAATAAATAGTTATAAAGCAAAAATATAAAAAGAAATGTGACTTGGATTCTCTTTAGTATTGGAATGAAATGCAAGATGCATGTGCTGCTCATATCATAACTTTTTCAAATCACTAAGATGTATTTGTTTTATTATAGAATACAATTAGTTTTAAAGATCAAAATTTAACTACTTTAAAAAATTATCATTCCCTTAGTATACCTTTGCTCTGTTTGATTAGGCCCAAAATTTAGTGAATAAAAAATAAATTTAGAGAAACAAGCCATCTTTCAGTAGTTTGGTTAAAGAAAAATAATAGTATTATTAAATAAATATTTTTATTTATATAAAAGAAAATGAGAAAGTGAACAAATTTATTAAGTGATAATTTTTTAATTTAATTTTAGTGTAACATTGTGAAATCAATAAGAATAATTCATAAATATATTTTTATATTAATTATTATAAAAATGAATAATTCTTTTTACAAGACAATCTACGATTAAATATTAGTGTAAAACGTAATATTATACGATCGATATATTTAAATTAAATAAAAAGAATTTAATTTAATATAATATTAGTATAATATTAAGTAACTAAATTGTATTATAAATATACTTTTTATATTAATTATTATGATGATTAATATTCTTTGCTTTTTTTTAAATGATCTTTTAAAATCAATAAAGTTATTTCTTTATAATTAAAACTCTATGCATTGAACCGCCATGAAAATTAAATATATTATTATTATTATTATTATTATTATTATTATTATTATTTCAAATAAAGAGCAATAAGAAGTGAGTTTCTTACTTAAAAATATTAATTGAAAAACAAATTCTTAAAATAGGCATGGGTTAAAAATATTCTTTTATCTTGAGACTTTTTTACTGTGCCAGTAATTTATAATATTTATTTTATCATTATTAAAAAAATAATATCACATTTATAAAGACTATGCTTATTTTTTATTAGTGAATAAATTAATTAGATAATATTATTGTTGTATCATATTTTTTATGTCCAAGAAGGTGTGGAATGAGTTCACGTGCAATTTTAGTGTGAACTGGGGCAGTTAATCTCACTCAAATAAAAGTGTAAAAATATAACTGGACGGCGCAGTTATAGAGAATCCTAGTTCATGAGATTACAAGGGATAGTGTAATATTTTTGTTGATATGACAAAAAATTTTAATAAATAATTTTAAGTTATACTTATTTTAAAAATTTATTTTTAATAAAAAAGACGTAAAAAGTTATTTCAAATAAGATAAAAGTAATTAGGGTAAACTAAATTAAACAAAATAGGATAGGACAAGTGTAAATCTTAGCTTTTTAATTATATTTTTTAACAAAATTTTGAAAGAGAAGATGGTACTCGTCTTCAGTTTTAAGATTAATTTGAATATCCTAAAATATTTAAAATTTATTAATATATTTATTATGTTAAAATATTAAAATTAAATACTATTATTAATTATTTAAATTTAATTATAAAAGTTGAGATTAATATTGTTCTTAAATAGATGATAAAGGCTTCAAATTTGTCCGCTGCTACCATAGAGAGATAAGATTGTTTCCTTTTTTGTTGACTAAGCAGAAGTTTAGAAAATTTTTATTTTTAGAAATGATTATTTATTTTAAAAAATAAAACTAAGTAAGTATTTTTAAAATAATTTAAAACAAATATGTGATAAATAAATTAATTCTAAAAATTAATACAATATTTGTAAGCATAATTAACCAAAAAAATAAGATTTAATATATACTAAAATAAGCATAAAATTTACACAAAATATATAAACATGTAATAAATAATAAAATAAATATAAACATTTAATAAATTGTATATATGAACTAACACATTAATCAGGCAAACATTACATTTACTCCCAATATTTGGGTGGGACAGAGATGATATAACGTTCGGACTCTAATGGATGCATATATTGTGACAAAAAAAGAGAAATTGACTGGAAAATGATAATAATAACAAATATAACGAGGGATATAATAAAAATACAAATATAAAATGGATATAAATATTAAAATATAGAAATCATGGTAAAATAAGACTAAATTTGAAAAAAAAAAAAAAAGGTTAAACAAATTTTCAGTGATTATTACTCAGGAATTAACTTTAATTTTTTTTTAATTTAGGAAAACGAATTTTTTTGTAAGATAATTTTTTTAAAGTAAAATTATCTATAATATAGTTAAGTTAGTTTTTTAAAGTAAAATACATATATAAGCATAGACTTACAAATGAAAAATAGAATAAAAATTATTTATTAAAAAAATTGCTATCAAATGAAAAATTTAAATCTAAAATATTATTTTAAAAATTAGATCTATATCATCTAAATCATCTATCAGTCAAATTTAACTTTAATAATGAAATTCAAGAGTGAAACAAAATTGTAATAAAAATAATATTCCTTTTTACTTAACTAAATTTTTAATCTTTAAAAAATTGAAATTTTTTATTTTAATTTTTTTGAAATGAGTCAGTCCTTTATAATATATTTGTTTGCAAATGTTATATTATTATTTTTCATCTCTTCAACTATCATTAATTTCTTATTCAACTCCTGTAAATGGAAATTTAATAATATTTAAAACTTTAAATAAAATAATAATAACAAAAATATTTTTATAGTAAAATATATTTTGAGTAATTTATTTTTAAAAAATTATAATTTAAAACTTAATGAAGGTTTTTTATTAAAATTTTAATTTTATCTAAAAATTTGAGCATTTTTAAATTAGAGACTGAGATATAAAAAATAAAATTATTTTGTTTTTTCCAATACCAAAATTACTCAAATTAAATTTAAGGCGATCAAAATGAATCCTGCTATCACTAGCTTAAAAAAAATTATAAATAATTAATAGAGTTTCAATAAAAATCATAAGATATTTTTTTATCAAATAAATCAAGCCCACAGTGGTGAATGCCTCTTACGTTCTTGCATTGATCATTTAATTAAAATTATTTATTATTAAAATCCCCAACCATTTTATAAACGAGTCTTCTTCTCGGTCACCTTTTGGTTTCTCCTCCTTCAAACCAAAATGGAACCATTCACACTCTCTCTCTAACATCGCTCTCTCTCTCTCTCTTCCAATTCCACTAAAAAATGCCAAAGCTTCAGAGTTTCAAGCTCCTCGCCTCCCACTGCGCCACCACCCAAAGCCCCACCGCAAGCCCCGTCATCCGCCGCCGACGTCGCCGCCGCAAGACCCTCCGCATGCTCCTCCACCATGATCCTCCCCAAACCACCGACAACGTCAGAGTCCGCCAAAAACTCAAGGATTTGCTCCTCTCCTCGCCGTCACCACCGCCGCCGCCGATCAAAAACCGGCTAGAGCACGAGGAACTGCTCCCCGCCGCCCCTGCCTCCGCCGGCCTTGGCTTACGGTTCCGAACCGGCTCGACTTTCCGTCGCGGTGGCGCCGCGGCGCTCGGACCGGTGTCGTCAGCGTTCCGGCATAGACTATTGAGAAGAGCGTGGAGACCCGTGCTTCTCTCCATCCCCGAGTAGTTACTATTATTATTTACTGTTAAATTATTAGTTCTTAAGTTTTTATTTATTAATTAATTTGTTATTATTAGGGCACCTAAAACATATTACTTATCAGTCATTATATATCACATTTCTTTTTAAGCTTTTTTTTAATCTAATTCCCTGTACGTGTAATTATTTTTAATTTTTTACATTGTCATCGTTGTTAGTTGTCATTGTAATATTGTGGAATTGTGTGAACCTACGTGATGATGATTCTCGCATAAAAAAGTTAAAAATATAAATTAAATTTTTTTAAAATATACTGTAACTTTTTTATTTGTTGATAAAAAGTGCCTCATAACATGTGTATTTTTATCTGAATTACTTTTTGGTACAATTCAATCATGCCCTTGTTAATTAAAAATATTTTAATTTATCAAGTTGTATGTTTGTACGATCCATTACAAGGATACATGGATTCGTACATTAGTTATGCGAACACAATTCGTACGTTAGAAACCTTGTGGCTCCTCACAGAACTCTCGCCAATGGGAAAAGTGAAACCAAGACAAAAATGAATGGGTTTGTAAAATGATGATGTAGAGCATAACGTTGGCATGCAATCATGCTAGCTTGCTGTAGAAATGTAGAGTAACGGGCAGTGGATGGGGAGGCATGAGTAGAATTGGCTTGTTTATTATCATTGTGTTTATACTTTTAAATTGCCAATTTATCATTCTCTTTGAAACTATTTTTGAGAAAAGTATTTTTTAAGACTTAATCAACACATATTTAACATTATTTTTTCTAAGTATACAAAAATAAAAAATAGGTAAAGGAAACAGAGCCTTAGATGAAAATATAAGATGGGGTACTTAGTTTAAAGTTCAGTAAAATTAATTTTGTTAAAATTGACTTTGAACTATTGAGTTAAATGTAAATTTTCTGCATGTGTTTTTTGAGTTTGGTAACTTCTTTTATCTTCAAATGGTACATAGTCGATTTTCTCTGAAAATTTGTGAAAAAAAAAATCTAAGCAAATATTTTAGGAGTGTTTAAAAAAACTTATGAAAAATAATTTAAAGCTATTGCAAGATCTTTTTAGCTTATTCTAAGAAAAATTACAATCAAGCTGAGTCTCTAAGAATAGTAGCTTAGTGCGATCAAAAGATTATAGCAAGAAACGAGTTTCTAGCCAATGAATACTTTCTAGAGTCTCTGGTTTAAGGGTTTCTTTTGTTTTTTGTCTTCTCTTTTTTTTAATGTTTGGTTTAAGGGTATGAGTACTTAGTAGGGTAAGCCTTTGATATATTGGGCTTTGGATGTTCCCTCAGTGTAAAATTGGCATTGGAATCCTTGGGCCTTGCCAATGTTTGGGTGCATAGTAGCTTGGACCTTTATGAATTGATCTAAAACATTATCTTGACACCAATGTCTTATTTGTTATGATCTTCTTTGCTATTAGTTGATGGGCAGAGAACATTTATGAAATAAAGGGACTAATATGTTAATCGGATAATTTAAAAAAAAAGAAAAATAATGGATATTTTTAGTTGATGCGACACAATTTAATTTACAGGGACAAGAATAAGGACAAGGAGAGGGGACATGGTATTTCAGTCCAAAACAATGAATGCTAAAATTGACCCTTGTATAAATCATTATCTATAGTGCTTTTAAACAATTGGTCAGCAACTTCAACAGATCACAAAATTTTATAGATCAAGGAGATGAAAACTCTAACACTCAAATTCGTCTTGAATGAAAACTTTCTTGTGATTTACATTGATCATTTTAGACTTAAGAATACAATGGAGCTCCCTGAAGTAACTAACAATGTTCAACTAAAGAAAAGTATTTATAAATCTTATAAATATCTTCTCATTTGATAATAATGTTTGCTTAATGATACCATGTATAAAAATTAATGTCTAATGGATAGGGGTGCAGAGGAAATTAGCCTATCTTGTCTTATGTTTTAAAAGTGAGCTACAAAATTTAACCTAATTCATTTGAAAGTGAGTTGTTAGATTAGTGCGAACCTGTCAAAGATTAAAAAAATTAAAAATAAAATGAGTTGAATAATAATAATAATAATTAATAGTTAACAAATAAATTATTAAAAAAACAAGTTGGTGAGTTGACAAATATGGAACCTTTGATCTTACTTAACACATTAGGCGAGTTAAACATACCAATCCGCCGCAACAACTCTACTTTATTACTTTTACTAATAAAATCTTAAAAGAGATTTTTATTCAAAAAGAATTTTGGAAAGAGCTTCATGATCATGTCTTAATAACTAAATTACCTTCAATAAAAGAATAATAGTTTTAAAAAAAATTTGTAAAAAGAGAAAAAATAAAGTGCATAAGACTAGTTGATGAAAACTAAAATGAGTAAAGGCTTGTTTGGATAAATTTGTAAATAAGTTATTGTAAGAGACAAAATAATATAAAAAATTAATAATTATATTTTCATAAATTAAAATTAACTTGTACTTCTTTATTTTTTAGAAGTTATTTTCGTTTAACTTCTCTAAAAGTTAAAAAAAAAGAGTTATTTTTAATTTATAGGAGAAGTTTTATTATTTTTTATATTATTTTTTTTCTTTTACAAATATTTATCCATAAATTCACCTAACTATATCTAAATGTTTTTTATCCATGGAATGAGTAAATTTTAAAGTTAACCTCAATGTTATTTAAGCATCTAAAAGTGAAATTTTTTTAAGAAAAATATTTATTATATTTAATATATAAAAGTGTAATAAAAACTTTTTCAATTATTATTATTTGTTGCTAAAACTTTACAGTTGAAGTTAATATTTTTCTTTTGAAAAATATTTTGTTAATTCTGAGTTTAAGCATTTTTAAAAAAAAATTGTTATTAAATCATTAAAAAATATTTATTATATTTAAAATACAAAAGAGAAGTAAGGAAACTACAAATGCACATTGGTGATCTAAGTTAGTGTGTTTGGAATTCGCAATATGTTGGTTCCCAATGATTTTGTATTACAAGTTGAGATAAGGTAACATGCTGATTAACAATCTTTTCCTTATTGTGATTGCCATTGCATGAAGATGAAACATTAAGGCCAATTTTATTTTTTATTTTTAATTATAAAATACAATTTAAAGAAGCAACACTTTCTATGTTAATGTGAAGAACAATATATAAAGACTATTTCAACTTAATTTGGGATTTAAAATACGAATATCAAAAGATATAATCGTGTTAAATATTAAAAAAATATCAAAAAAATAAATTTATCACCATCTCAATGAAGATGAACAAAACTTAACACGACACAAAACCAATATATGGTGAGTCTTAATCCAAAAACATGTTTAGAAAACCTACTTTAAAGAAAGAATAAAGGCTATTATACTTAAATGAAAATGTGTTTAATCAATCAAACAATCAAATAATGTTACATAAATTAAAAACATAAATGTTTATTATGTATGCATGCTAAATCACTAATGCTATGTTATCTATTTATGTCTTTGAATTGTATATCTATATAAGAGTTAGATGCAATTTTCAAAACAGGTAAAATTTGAATGTAACTATCACTAACATCAAGAGAATGCAACACAATCATGTCTAAATAGTGAGAACAGTGGGAAGAGTAATGTTATATCCAATTACAAGATATTCCTATCAATCACTTTATTACTTTATAAAAAAGTTAATCATTAAATATAAATATATTTAATGCTTTTTTATATAATAAATAAGAATTTTGTAATAAAAAAAAATGCTGTAGGAAGATATAAAAGATTTAGTTGGTGTAGAAAAAATTATTGTTTATTGTTTACGTCTCCTCTTTCTTTTTCCTTATCACGATTGCTCATGCATGGATTTAGATTCGTGGATTGACGATAAAGTTAAAATAGTAAATGCAACTTATTAATCAAGAGAACGATTTCAACAAATTGATTTTTTTATTAAATTTTTACATTTTGAAAGCCCAATAAACAATAATTTTTTACAAGTAATAACTATTTTTAAATACACACTGCATTTATATATTTTTGTCTTTTGATAACTTAAAATACTTTACTATTTATGAGATAGTTGATTTTTCATTAATTAATTACTATTTTTATTGTAAATATAAAATCATTAATTTGTTTCCTTTTTTAAAAAATTTATGAAAACAAACTTATAATTATTTAAAAGTTATTTGCATTATTTCGTTTATAAAATAGATAAAAAAATATAAATAAATGATATTCTTAAAATTATTATAAAATTAGCATCAAAAGTAAAAATAAAACTAAAAAATTCTTTTTTTAACTTTTAATTACTAATGTGACAATCATAAGTTTACCTTTTTTTGTCAAGGACATGAAGTGTCATTTATCATGACAAGACTTGTCCAGGTGCAGCAATCAATTATTTTTTTATTCTATTTCAAAATAAGGAATTTCTTTGAATTGAATTTAGAGTAAAAACACATCATTCTGGATAATTAACTTGCTAAATAAATTAATAATGTTCAATATTATTTTTAATAAAAATTTATTATTTATCAATTCTATTATATATTCTTTTAGATACGTTACAAGATATTACATTATGTTCTAATTAATGTTAATAACAATAGTGTTAATAAACATAATACTTTTAAAAGTCAAATTCATTTCATAGAAAGATTAAAAAATTGGAGAAAAATAAGTCAACAAAATGGATGAGATACATGAGTGCAAGAGCTAACAACATCAACATATATGTAATTTCTTCATCTGTAACATTTTTGAACTAACATTTTTATGTGAGAGTAGAAGAGGGAAATAGTTACTATATATAGTGAGAAATAGGAGTTATCAAAATCCTCTAAGAGATACCACAAAATTTCTTTATTAAATAACAAATTAGTATTAACTTAATTAGTGAAGTGGAGTAATATTTAGTTTCATTTATGACATATTATAAGTTTAAGTCTTTATTTACTTTTTTTGGAGTAGAATAAAGATTTTTTTTTATATTTTATATTTTTTAACCAATGAGTGTAAGTAGTAATTAATATTTATTTATAAGAATCTAAAAAGATAATCTCTTTACTTCTTAATGTCTATTGAGGATGAGTGCATTAA